AGCATGTGTATAACAAGCTCTTAAAGCGTAAGCGCTTAAAAATATTTTCAACGAGCATAATGGCAACAGAAGGGATCCGTCCGAATGTAACATCTTGAAGCTATAAAGTTTGCACCGATAAATTTTTTCGGTACCCAAAATAGATTTTTGCGTTTATGTCAGTAACTTAAACGCAACGTGTAACTCTCTCTAACGTGCGCTTTAACACTCGTGATTTTTTGCTCTCTAAGCTTCTGTTAGGGTTGTTAAGAGTTTTATACAGAAAAAAGAAGTGTCAAATCAAGACTTATATATTCATATATACGCAAGAATCTGTAATCTGAAATATACATCCATGAACAACGATTTGTCCCATACTTGACTAATGAAGCAAGTCTGAAAGATGCTTTCCCTTAGATTCATATATACATATGTATGTATGCATCACGTATGTGTTATAAGCATCTTTCTCTATATGTGTATTGCGTTAAACGAAGAAAACTTGCTTGAATAAAGTCATTTATTGTATAGTTCGACAAAAGAAAGTTGAAATTCTTATAAGAAGATTATAGATTGTTGCGTATATATATACGAGTAATGTATAAGTTTTGATTTGACACTTCTTTTTTCTGTCTACCTATCTCAAATTCCGAATGTCTTATTTTTTGAGATTTTCAAACGATTTCTTCTAAGATTGTCGGATGGAATATGTTTCATATTTAATCGGCTCAGTTTCGGTCATTTCGCAGACACGCGAAAACATTATGTCAAAGTGTTTAAAAGATTTAAATTAAAATGCGACGCGTATTGAGTGAGAATCGATATGGAAGGCCTTAAAAATGGAGAAAAAATTTTCCACGATTAACCGAGGGATTACTTCGTATCGGGGTTTTCGCGCGCCGGGAAATTATCCGCGAATGAAGACTGGAAGCCGTGGAATAAAGCCGCGACTACGGACTCCCATAAAGATGTAACACATCGCCCGTAAAACAAACCGACGAGCTTCGCGCGCACACCGTTTCCTTCCTTCCTCCTAATAAAGGTCACACAGAGGGGTACGGGCACATGCTGTAAAGAGAAAGGGCCGAGCTATAGGTGAGTTAATTCCATCAAGGGAGACCTGATTCATTATCCAATATCGGATGTCGTAAATTCTCGGTGAAATAAATTATCGTACTGAACGCGTCACGCTGACCCCGCTCGCATTTTGAGAATTTCAAGAGTCCATCTCGTACACTTTCTATTCTTTAACCGATTCTTTTTCTTGAGCAATTTTGACGCAACCTTTCTTAAAATTCCAAAAAACCTCAAAAGTGTTTTCAAAAGAGAGGCTTTAATCTTTCTTTTGTATTTCGTTCCTCTACTTTCGCGAAAAGTATCTTTACGACAAAAAGAATTTTTTTCGACCAAAAGGTTACCTCTGAAAAATGTGTCTTATAAATCAATCATTCATGTAAATGATCTACATCATGACCTTCGGTCCCTGGAAAGAAAAATAAAAAGAAAAATCAATCACAATGGTGATTGAATAATGATGAGATGTTTTTGAAGTGTCAGAGTCCGCGCGTACATATACTTCCATTATAATACATTTCACCTTCACTACAAATTTCTACGAATCCCAGCAAATATTAGTTTGTAATAGCAGCAGTTAAGAGCTATTAAGAGAAGAATTATAGTTCCATTCGCTTTCTCTCACACTATAGAATAATAGGACGTTCTTAAAAATTAGAATGGTGCAAGAACACGGGTCGACAGGACTCTTTTCTCGATTTCTGTAATAAGATACGCGTCAAACGATCATTATTTGTCTACTTCGGGTATTAATCTACCTCGTCAGAGGAGATTCCATTATCCCTGCATGCCAAAATATTGTGTCAAGGACGCAAGGGGAGGTTTTATCACCCCGGTGGTCGGGTGGTTCGCAAGATGCATCGATTCGACGTGGCGCGGCGAGCCACGTGCGAGCGTTACGACGCTGCGTCTCCTTATCTCTCTTGTATTGTATCTCGAATGAATCCACCGGCCACCCGGCTCGAAGGGGCTGTCCTTCGAGCGTATGTTCGCGACTGTACAACAGAGAAGGAGAAAGAGAGAGCCTAAAGCGAGAGAGAGAGAGAGAGAGAGAGAGAGAGAAGGGTCGCGGGCTTATCGTTCGTCGACCGACCGAATTGCTTGCGTTGGGTGGCAGCCAATACGGCGACTCTCGTCAGCGATATCATCGCTTCTCGGTCCTTTCATCCACGAGCGCTGGGCTCTTGCCATTGATCGGCCATTTGCCATTCGGCGCCCATGAGAACATTCATTTATTTCGCATTCGCTAACCGTACTAACTTGCTTTCGCACCGACTACAAAAGAATCGCGCCCTATATAATGTCGCATCACGCTCTTTTCGCTTCTTTATTAACGCGCACACGACGCATATTGCGTTCTCATCGTGCTTTAACAAGTTCACGCTTTCGTGCTGATCAATGCGAGTCGCTTCTCTCGAGACGTAAAGACGTAAAGCGTATAGAAATAATTCCATCGAAATAAAAACGTTTCTACTCTTGAAAATGCAGCGATCAACGTTCGCTCAGCTTGAAATAACTGTACGATATCGTGCGGGCGCGAGACGGAATCGTCTGCTCGCCTCCCTCACAGTCGCGAGAGAGAAGGAGACAGAGAGCGGCGTGCTCCGAAATCGTTTCTCCGGAGATGAGGGAGAGTACCTCCTCCTTATTTACGGCGAAGCGCGATAATAGCGCGGATGATGGGGCCCCCGTCCCGAAGCGAGATACCGAACGTAGCCATGGCAACCGCTGCCGTGGCCATATTGGTCCATGGCCAGCTATCGATAATAGGAAAGATAAGAGGCAGCCCCCGGGCATCCGGGATATTTTATTGTCGGCAAAATGGCGTCTCGGAGTCTCCCGCTTTACGCGAACTGTCCCGTACGCGGTGAATCCGTCGTTTTTGCAAACTGCCCGCTGACGTGGTATTAACGGAAGGAATACGGAGAATTTAATTATCTCCCGACACTAATATCCTTTGACTGTATATCGCTGTGTGCCGCGAAGGGAGGGTAAAGACGAATTGGAAATGTTATTTCGATAGCAAGTGTCTTAACACATCGCGGATGGATGACGAGAATCTCGCATCTTTTATTTATCATCAAGAGCAGTTATTACTCACATTCAGTAACTGTGAACAAACTATAAGTAAAATATTTTAAAAATATTTAACGCAAGAAATACCTACTGGATGCAATAATTAGTAATAAAATGTCTACTCAGCAATGTGTTAATACGCTTGGCATGTAAACTAACAATAAGTAAACTTTAAGATGTCTTGTATAAAAAATTCTTCTATATATAAACATATATATGTCATGAAATATTCGTAGTATATTAATGATATTAAAATCCGTATTACATTTAAAACTTACATTCAATTGCCGAACAATAACAATAATAATATTAATTATAATCGGTGAAAGATTTTGACGAGTCATAATATAAATAGAATAAATGCGACACTATGTAGCTTATAAAAATCAAAATACAGAAAATGATTATAAATGTTTGTTAATTCAGTGTATATTGCGATTTACAATTTATATAAATGAGATATTTCGTTGTTCACTGAAAATATGTCGCGCGGATATTTAGCCACTCGAAGGAAAATAGCTCGAAATGATAGAGAGAAAAAAACTGTAAATTCTATATTAATAATTTGTAAGCGACGGCTGTTTATCAAAATAAATATTTTTGCGCGAATTATATATATCTGAAATCAAAGATAGTAGAATAAAAGATATAAGTTATATACTTACGTGTATGATCATGGAGCCGTTCCATGATGCCTCTTTTATTCAGCTTTTATTTAGAGTATTTAGACCTTATTTGTTGTGTCAAGCTACTACGTATAATGGAATACAGTTAACGTCATTTTCAGGATTTTTAATTAATGGGATCTCGCGAATGCGAAACGGATCGATCTGAGGTGTCGCGTGTTTAATTAAGAAATATACATATATTATTTTCGTGTATTTTAATTTTTATTCGATTTTCAACTACATAACGTTTCTTACATCAATAATTCGTTAAAAACTTTTCGCCGATCATAATAACGATATTTTACACGAACGTATAAAGTACTTCTAGTCGCGTATAAAAGTAAACAATTACAATTAAGTCAAGAAATTAATAGAATCGCTTTCCATCGTTTTGTGTCCAATCGCTTCACTTTGCCACATTCCGAAAGTTCTAACTTGGGTTATTCATTCCCTCGGGGAAGGATTACTTGCGCAGTAATAAGATATCGGTGACAACACCGTTACGTATTTCGTGGCAAAGTGCAGAAGTTGTGAAACAACAGAAGATTGTTTAGCACGTTGCTGAATAGGGTACGCTCGTCGGAAGCTCGTCACTCTTACCGTTTCTCAGAAAGGATAAGTGCCAGATCAGCAATCTTTGATATAATTGTTTGGTATAATTAATTTCATATAATAATAAAATAATATAATAAAATGTAAAGCATAAAGTCATATTGCATTAAAAGATAATAATAATAAGGCAATATTCTTGCGCATTTGTGTCTCGATGTCAGCCGAGATTCACGATATTACATATTTTTTACAACTTACAATATTACTCAACGCATAAAAAATGATTGAGAAACGAAACTATATATATAAATATACGTATGAAAAATAAAACTTATAACCTACTTTCGTACTATTATAATAGTGCAAATAACAAAAAAAATGGAAGAAAAGGGAAATGAATATTATATATAGGTATATGTACAAATATACATATAATAATATTAAGCGTATGTTCAATGAAATTAGTTGTCATGGATGATGAGAAGCTTTATATTATACATATTTACTTACGATATATACTCACGTCCGCGCATGTACGTATATACTGTAAGTAAATACAAGAAAATGTATAAAGGCATACTTTATAAACATGCACTTATTTATACATATGTTCAATTGAGCAAGAAATATCTAATGAAATTTTGCTCGATGTTGCCCTATTATATCATAAATATATTAAAATACGTATTTATATACAATATTCATTTGTTCTCTTTTCTTCATTTCCCTTCTCGCGACTTCTCTTTCTTTAAATTTTTTTTTGTATTTTTTCAAGTCGAAATTCTTCTCGTACTATCTACTTGTCCCAACAATGTTCTGAAAAATTTCTGATCTGGCACGTGTTTTTCATGCACACACATAACAACATTCATCCCATTATATTGTAATAAATTTACAAATGTATATCTTCAGATAGGGATCGATCTGTCTTTGCAAAAGATAAATTAATAGATGTATCGTGTACATACACCCTGTATATTACATCATATCACGGTACTTTAAGGAGTGACGTGAGGACTCGATTGTGCAGGCGTGCAAATTCGGGATCGTGGAAATGTACGCGCAGTCAAAGGTCCAAGACACGAGCTATTTGAAGTTCACGATGGCGTGAATCTCAGAACAAAACCCACTGTGAACCGCCACATTGGCTACCTAGCGCAACGCGCTCTCCCCAATTATCCAAATTTATAATTATCCCCAATTATCAAGAAACATTAAACCGTCATTAAGAAGGCTGAATGTATTCGCGTGAATAAAAAAGTAATCTTGAACGCGTGTTGTATGTACAAGTGTACATACCCGCGTGCGTAATATATGCACAAAGAATAGCTGTGTGATGTATAACGTAACATAAGGGATGGATATTTGGGGGAAGCGCGTATTTTGCGTATCTACATATATACAAATACATGTACATATGTATACATACATATATATGTATACATATGTATACATATATTAATTATGTGCAGTTATCGCCAATCGTGGTCGTCGCAAAATGTTTTATATTTGTTCAATTATTTTATATCGTACCGTTTCGATCCCTTTTGTCTTCCGTGTCGTTCTTGTACGGCTGAAACAACTTGGGCTGCGGTGCCTGCGATGCTTGCGATTGCTGCGACTGTTGCTGCTCCTGCTCAAGCTTGTTCAGTGACGACGAGGGCGGCGACGAGGACGTCCCCGATGTCGAGGGAATTGCCACGGGATTGTACGAGGTGCTCGTATTGTTCTCGAAGGGAATTACCGTCATCGGTACACTCATACCGTTCACTCTCAGCGGCTGCGGCTGCTCGCTGCTGCTGATCGTGGGTCTGTTTGCCTGCGGCATCAGGGGCGACGTCACGGTCACGGGCACGTTCACGCGGTGATGCGAGTGGTGCGGATACGTAGGCGACTGTAGACGCGTCGTGGCGTAATCGCACTCGCCGGAGGAGTCAGAGTTGACCGGGCTGATTGCAAGTTCCTCCAGCAATGGCTGCCGGCATGGCGGCAAAGAGTTATAAGGAGGCGTCGGGAGATTGCTCATCGTGGAGAAGGTGGAGGACCCGGAGACGGGCATATTCAGCATGTGCAGGGACGACATCGGCTGGTGCGGATACAGCAGGGGCGGATACGGGTTCGTGCGTGGGTGCGGCCGATGGAGCGAGGCGACCGGGCCAGTCTGCTGGTGATACGCCTGCAACCGGGCGTAATAGTGCGCGGTGGCGGCCGAGAATGACGTCGGCGAGGGGGCCAAGTGTGCCGTCGCCGATATATTCGCCGGTAGATTCGCCGGTAGATTTGCCGGTAGATTCGCTATATTCGGTAGATTCGCCGCGGAGACGGGCTGACAGAACGGAGCGAATATCGCCGCTATGTTTGGGTCCGCATACGCTACGTGAAAGGGCCAGGCCAGGGACATCCGCTGCCTCTTGTCCTTCATGCGTCGGTTTTGAAACCACACCTGCAACAAAAACGATTAGACATGATAATCACGATTAATTGCTTTTTTTTAAATTAGAACTCGCAATTAGATCATCAAGACGAAACTTGTTATAAAAATATACGTATGCGATATTAGAATATATATACCTAAACAAGTTTATAATGTAGAATGCGACAAGTACAGAAATAAAGGTAGAATCTTCGTCTGGCGGATTAGTTCGATAATCACGGCCGTTAAAAGTTTCTCTCGATAACTCGCAAGAAAATAATCAACGGCCTCCGCTGTCCGTCGTTTAGCTCTTTATTCGACGTTTATATGGGAACCGATCGAGTTCTCCTTCCGCTCGATAACGAATATTAGAGTATAAAAACTGCTGCTGGTTTTACCGAACGAGAGTTGGCGCTTGTATTTCTATAGATAAGCACTCGGACACACGTAATCTATAGATTCACGAATGTAGGGAATTCTCGGAGGCGGCGAACGATTATACCGGTAATTCGTGCGGGACGTTTACCGTCGTTTAACACCTCTCCGCCGTTCCCTCCTCACCCCGTTGCCCCGTTGCCGTTTTACGACCCGCCAACCGAGGCGAGTGCGAGCGCTGCCGCGAGACGAGAAATTAAGAGATCCATTAAAGTCCGAGGTGGGCCGCGAGGCAGTCGCTAATTGAGCCGTTTAACACTTTCGCCCGACCGGTCACCCCTCGATCAGGGCCGTGACTAAACCGACGGTCCCCGTTGAAACGTTAATACGTGGCCACGGTACCTATACATTTACGTAAAGAGAAAAGTCCTCGTTTCTGATCCGCCACGACGAGATCTCCGTGGGATCTGACGTTACGGCACTGCCGCGGGACACGCGAGAAGAAGGATCAAAGGCCGTGAATCGCGACTGTTGAATCGCTCTCGAGGCTATAATCGCCGATCAAATATGGCCGCAGCTGGCCGCGGCAAGAAACAACCACCGGGAGCTCTCCGGCGGGCCCGCGCGAACAAAAACGCCACTAATTGCATCTATTAAAGCCGGCCGGCTTTAGAGGCCCCCTGTCTTCGCGGACGCGACGGACGCGACGGCCGTGAGAAATCAAATCGAGATACATGCGGAATAATATTATTCAAATAACTTCTGTAAAAGAGACGAAGCTGAAAAGGAGAAAGTGATACCGCAATAAGAAGATAGATAACTGCAAGGGAGAAAATGTATAAAGTGCGCCTTTTAGCCGCATAAGCGTACTTGCTATTAATAATCGTTAAATGATCGAAGGATTTTCTTAATAATCCCTCGCGAATTCAAACACGAAAGCGCTAATGGAAAATGTTATTGCACCGGCCACGGATGAAGTCACTGTTTAACAAATCTCGTGCGAGTAAACGTTTGCTCATTCCCGATCAGCTCACGCCGATCGATCACAATGTTCAATCTAAAGTTTATTTAATAGACGAGATTTTAATAGAAGGCTGAAAGCTGGCTCACGAACGCAAACATTCAGTAAGATTCTCACCAATTTTGCACGAACAAAGCACAATTTTTTTTAATGTTTTTGATAAATTAATTTTAATTATTTTAAAACAGACATTTAAAAACTAAACTCGTTGGTTAGAAAAACAGTTATCAACGCAGTTCCCTCTTACACATTTCTTCATTCGCTTATGATATTTTTTTAAATATTCTAATATATATTACAGATATAATGTAAAAAAATATATTACAACGTTAACAATTCCGTCATTTGTAACAATCTATCGTTATTATTTGCAATTTTTTTATCGAAAGTGGAAAAACTGTCACGCGTGGATGCAGGTCTTGTAAAAATCAGCAACTATTTGAATATATATCTATACTTTTACTAATTATTACAAAACTACTGAACTCAACAGAATGTAAGATGACTTATTCTCCGACTATCTACGTTAATCGTTGCCTGAACCACCAATTCTAGAGTATTAGGAAAAAGAATATTATAACTGCGAAATCTTTAATGCGTGACTTATTAAGAGAACTTTTCAGGGGATTATATTTCTTTAGGGAAACTTGTACAAAAATATTTGTATATTTTTCTTGTCAAAGAAACCTACCTTAATTGTAGACTCCGGCAAATTAAGTTGCGCAGCCAACTCGCATCTTCTCGGTCGAGAGACATAATTTTCACGGGCAAATTCTCTCTCTAACCGATTCAGTTGATCTCTCGTAAAAGCGGTTCTGTATCTCCTGACGTTAGGATCCATGGGGGGAATTGGCAGTTGCTGTTGCTGCTGTTGTGGCTGTTGAGACTGTTGAGACTGTTGAGGTTGTTGAGATTGTTGAGACTGTTGAGGCTGTTGCTGTTGTTGCTGAGATTGTTGAGGTTGTTGCCGGTGCGTAATGCCACGCGAGGTCGACGGCTGCGAATCTGCATGAAATAATGATGAACATTATCTTCCCCACCCTATCGAATCACTTCGGAAGGAATATGTTAAAAAAAAAGATTAAATTTGAAGGGCTCAGAACATCTTTTTGCATTATAAAATTATTTCACGCGGTTAATTCGCACACCGGCGGACGATTTTGTACCCTTCGGCGATAAACTCGGAATGTGAGCGCGAATTTATTCTTGACTCCCGTCTCAGCTTCCAATCTAAATATTTTTAATTTTCAAGTGGGCAGGATTTTGAGAAAATTTTATTACAATTCAAAGTTAACCGAAGTTGTATAAAACCGTGCAAAGCCGTCCGAAGCTTCGTTTCTTTAAGGCGTAGGCGACGTAACAAGACAGTGTTCGTTATCCCAGGCGACTTTCTTCGTTCTTTAGTGACTAGTTTACGAGCATTTACTAGTTACACAGCTTCTAACAATAAGATAATCTATTAATATAACACCGTGCAGCCAATCAATCCTTGTTTTACCGCCCATGTAGACAAACAGTAGCACGGTACTTTGAAACGTAAGTGCCGCAAGTGTCAAAGCTACCGCAGTTACAAATTTTCCGCAAAGAACAATAGAATGCAATATATTGTTAACTCGACAAGGGTCTTTTATCAAAAGCTCTAACTGCATGCAGGTAAGCATAGAAACGGACGATGAAAAGACTAGAGAACTATGGGGATCCACACTTCCGATCGATTTCTCTTTGGTTTTTTGGCGATTATGTAATTTTCGCACGATTTTCCTCTATCATTGGTTGGCGAAATACGATATTACGTGACGGAAATGATGCAAATCACATAAAAGCCATCAGTTATATCTCGAATATGTGCAGATAGGACAACATGATAATAAAGGGAAATGAGGATACCGCATCATTTCTCGGCGTCAATTCTCACGTTTTCAATTCCGAGCACAAAGGAAAGGTCACTTTCACGCGGTTGCGGTGATAATTAATCGAATTAGTTACATTTTCGAACCGACACTTGTTACAGCTGCCGCCCGTCCCTCTACTTCTCACAGGTATAAAGATACATCAAGCCTCACTAGGCGTCATGAATGCCTTCTGAATTAAACGTTGCACGAGACTCCACATTATTTCTTTAAAAATGTCTACAGTAACGTATCGTGAAGCGAAACTTGAATTCTTCGAACATTTTCCGAAATTGAATTTTCTATACAATTATTATATATATTATTACACATGTGTTTTATAAATCGAAAAAGAGACAAGAGTGTGTAAAAATAAAATTAATTAAGTTACGATTATACCAAATGATCGATAAATTATATAACAAAAATCATTTTTATCGCAGTCTTTCGCTCGTAATATTGCAGGACTACAAATGGAAATGATTTTTGATATTAGATATATATTTGAAGCACAAAGAAAACGCTTAAGACAAATAACTTGATGTTTCGGTTTTACTGAGCGTTCCAGGTATTTTCAGGTAGTCCAATTATCTAGCCCTCCATAAATTTTTTCAAGTTGTTGTTAACTTTCGAAGATTTCACTTACCGGTTAAGGTTTCAAGTATAACTAAGTTTATTTCGACTCAGGTAGTAATATTTATAAGGTGTTTTGTGTGTAAAAGATCAGAGCTTCGGTACGTCTTTCCGGTCCAAATGACCCTCCGGTCATAAATACATCTTTACTTTCAGCAAAAACAATCATTGTACGGTTCATTAGTATCGTGATGTATATATAGGCTGCCATAAATTTTCTTTTCAAATCCTGGGTGCCAATCCGAGCACGTTAACGTTTAACGATGACTTAAAGATCGAAAACCAGTTCCTCGACATTTACGTGAATATGCACCGCGAATTACTGCTAGTAATAGGATAGACACTAATCGAAAGAATAGATATAAATATTTCGTGCATTAATGTTAACTGTCTCTTTCTCTCTCATACACACGGAATGTCTCGTAAGTCCATCATAGGAAAACAATAAAAAAGGCAAAACTTTTTACTTACACAACTGATTCATTATATCTATTACTCAATACGCAGCAATTAACTTAATTTCTTTCTGTCAAAAAGCGGTCGATTAATGATGGTGGCGGTAATGGCATTACACACGTCAATTATTCCTTATAACGATGGACTTGCGAGACATCCAGTAGAAACGTAAACATGTAAAACTTACCGATATCGGCGCGCGAGCTACGCGACGTGTTCATCTGGTCGACGACAATATTTTCTTCCTCCGAATTCTCGTCCGGGTCCTCGTCGTAGTGATTCCTCATCTCGTCGCTTTACAACAATCGAAACACGTGCGTATATTAATCACTTTGCCATGTCATACCGCGCACACATGCACGCGTGTAACACACGTGGTCGCGGAAGTATTCGAACGTCCGCGTGCTTGGTATCGCTATCAGGCCGAACCCTTCGAGTGTAAAATCGATGCCGGCGCGACGATATAAAATTTCAATGTCACAACTTACGAGATTGATCGGTTTCTAATGTCAAACATTTTCGTTTAACGACTTAACGCGCGGATCTTGGAAACGTTGTGGACGCGAAGAGAAGCGCGTGACACACGCTTATATAAATATATATATAAACTGTAATGTTATTGTATCTGCAAAGTATGTGTTAAAAGGTTTAGTACGATATTTAGCTAGCACGAGCGTTCTGATGCTCTTGCGATCATGTATGTACACATTCTCGGAGGAAAAAAAGTAGCGCACACGTATGTCATTTAATATTTTTAATAACTTTTTTAAGTTTCAAGATTTTCCGAATTTGACAAATCACGTCAAAATGATATAACGCATACATCAACGGTGATTTAGTTTTATTTCTTCGTCCCAAAATAAATTTTTGAATAAACCGACGGCGCTTAAGCCTCTTGTTGAAAATTGCAGCAGCTGCGAAGAAGGAGCCACAAAGTCACGTGCAATCCGTTGAAAAATATTGACAATTGTAACGAAAGGGAATGACGCGATATCGTCGGCACGTGAGCGCTTGTCATTTCGAACTTATATCTCGCGACGGGACAAGTTACTCGCAACGTGTCACATTGGAAATCATTCCAGATAAATTTCGAGTGTAATCACGAGACTTAAGAAAGAAACCTCGGTTAAACGATTCGCGATCTCGTCGACGCGAAAATTAAAACGCGAATGTCGCGGGGATCAAAGGTGGTAACTTACACGTGCTTTGTCTTCTTTTATCTGGTAGTTTCTGATACCGCGCCACTTGAAGCGTAATCGCACACCTCGCGGTTTTTCTCCGAGAAACGTGTAAAGAAAAAAAAAAGAAAAAAACAAACGTTTACTGATCACAACATGTGCGACGAGTCTTCTCTCTATTTTCGCGCGAGCTCCGTTCAGCACCGCGAAACCACGTGAAGTGTTTGAACTATAATCGTAGAGTGTTGAATAGTAGTCGCTCTGTATACGTATATAGCCATCCAACACCAGCCACCAGTGTGGGGAGCTCTGCGAATGGAGGGGACGATTCCGCCTCTTGAACTGAGAGGTGGAGTCGGTAGCTCAGCATCATAGGCGTATAGTGAAGCTGTCTTCTGGTCTCTGGTGGGGAAAGCAGGATCGGCTTTACCTTCCTCGCAGACTTGGAGGCAATGTAGTGACAAAAATTTCTTTGAAAATCTCCAGAGATCAGCGTGTAAAGTGGCAAACACGATTTTACACACCAAAGCTGATCTCTACGATTATACCGTACTTAACGAACCGTTTGCTTTTACAATTAAACGATATATTGTACGCAACGTGTTAGTGTATGTAAAACAATTTTGCGAGATTAACAATATATTATCTATGAAAAGAATTTGTTATAGAGGATTCGTTTGCCACATCAGCGGAAGAAATACGTAGATATGAATTAATTTAAGATTTAGAATCGTCGGGTTTTTTACGCGAGATTGAATTTTGACATTTTTTTATCATCGAGAGAAATCTCATATCTAATAATAATTTTTGTGAGTTATATTTTTGTTATTTTGCTTTTACGTTTTTTAACCACGATTATTAATCGGCCTTGAAACGAAAAACTGCAAATAATTTATAATATCTACTAATAAATAATATTAATTTATAATATTAATACATGATTTAATATTACTTGTTTAAATGTCGCGCTGTATCTTCATTGCATGTGAAAGCGAATATTATAATGTGGACATAGTCAATTAAATAATATTATAAATATTAAGTAATAACGATAAAATTGACGCGATGATAAAAAATAGCGAAACTTACGAAATCATAAAAAAATTATTTAAAAGAATTACTTGTATATTGTTTGAATCGGTAAAGATATTTACATCCATCGTGGCATTTCCTGTAATAATGCGACATATTTTCGGTTCGGGAAAATAAAATCTTTCCAGCGCGTAAAGCGTTTGACGGGGCTATTGCGTAATCTTAAACACCATTAAGAAAGCTGAAATGATGATATATATTATTATCAACTATTAGACCTCAATTACATTTTATAGAAACGAAGAGAAAAGAGAGAAAGTTTTGCAGAAGATTTCCCAGGTTTTAGGTGAAGTTAAAATTATTTACCTAATATAAGAATTACAGAAAATTGTATATAGGAGTGTTATTTATACATTATTAGCATTTTCTACTGGAAAAATTAATACAACATTGATACACACTGAGTGCGTTTAGTTTTGTCTAAATTAAATATTCAATAATTGAATTCTAAATTATTGTAATTATTTTTTGTCAATACTGCATCTTCAATTTTTATTTAATAGTTCATGTTTATTTAATAGTTTAGCCCACGGTATAATAGCATCTTTTTTGTTTCAATAATCTCTATGGGGATGGTTTTTTTTAATTAGAAAAAAGTGATTTATCTTTTATTTAGTTTTGTTTTACTAAATTTAAATTTATAGCAATTAAACAAAGAAGAAAGAACAAAAAATACTATGGTGAGTTTTCCAGTGTCGGCAATATTAAAAGTATAAAGTATCCTTCTTGAACAATGTCCCATGTCAACGTCCTTTTGTTTAATATTAGTATGTTTATAACGCATTGATATTATACAAAACGTTAACGTTATAAACGCACTAATATTAAACAAAAATATCGAATCTTATTTCAAATGTTTCGTGTCGTCTCAATAGTATGTCTACAATAGCACGTTTTGCGATTGACCGTTTAACGGGACTTATATATTGTTTAAATTTAAAAGAAAAACTGAAAAAAAAAACGGCTTGGTGAAAGAGATTGGTATTCGTACCAATGACGTAAATGCGGTTCAAGCATTGAAAAGCTTCCTCTTCAGACCCTTTCTCTGAACAGTATTGTAAAAGTATCACAATAAATTTGAAAATTTCAAGGTTGCTACCAGCAATAATTCTTCATTATGAAAATGCGATTTATAACTTCAAGATGTTCCGCAAAAAGATTCCATGAAAATCACGTTTTCGGTTTTGTGTCAATCACTAGGTGTATATATATATATCGCTTATATTTGTTATAACGACATAACTCAAAAATTGTCATTTTTTAACTGTTTACAAAAAAAAGGTGAAAATTTAATACACTGAATAAAGAGCTAATATATTATAGCTAAATATTTTTGTTCCTCTACAATCAATTATAACGTTATTGCACCAAAATCGCATTTAAAAGTAATATTACCAAATTTTAATGATTCGAAACATTCAAACTTATTTTTGGGAAAATTTTGTTTTCTGAGTCATGTCATTGTTGTACACTGAAAGAACGGTTTTGCTGAAGTATCTAAAAATTTAGCTAGATCTGAAAATGATTTTGTTAAACCATCAAAATAATCATATAGCAGGTCGCTGAAGTATATGATGATAATGCTGTAAAAAATTTTGACTTAGGTAGCAATCATGTTTGAGTGTGCTACATAATTATTTTGACGATCCAACAAAATCATTTTTAGATCTGTATCTAGCTAAATTTTTAGATACTTCAGCAAAAAGCGTTCTTTCCGTGTAGCAAATGAGCGATATGTATAACGATTTTCTTCAGCGTGTAAACTTAAACTTTTCAACGAACGATCTAACATCGCAATTATTACGTTGTAATATTTTTTCAATAATTATTCGAAACTTTACTGCAGTGTGACGCAAATGCTGTTAGCGTTATTACAATTTGTTGGGATTTTCATCGTGAGATTTCATAATTCCACGTCACAGCAATATCGCATTACTATTTATCGCGTTACAGCGTTGCTAGAAGATTTTGTGTGTAAAATTTTACATGCTAGCATGGTTTTACAATGATAGTCATTGGCACGGAATAAGTACGTGATTGGATGTATTTAATTAATTCCGTATCTATATATCTATCTATATAGCCGCCAGCGTGGTAAAAAGTTTAACGAAAAAATTCCAACTGTGCGCTATTTGTGTGCAGGCACAATCAAATAAAATCAAGGAAACTTTTCTTTTATAGGTATATTTAACAAAGAGATTTTCTTTTATTTTAGAAGCCCATCAATAGCGGATCATATAAGATGATCTTTCTGTTACATGACTATTTTTTAAAATAACTTTTAAATGGCTTTTGTCATCATTATCTGGGCCATTGCCATTGCCATTGCCATTGCCTCCCATGCTTTTTCCTCTCAAAAACGCGAACAATGTATCGTAAAAAATTGCTCTATTTAAAAAGTGTCTACGAATTGGACTCTCATGACATTTTTTTCTTTATGGATCGCGATACCGACCTTTTATTTATCTCTTCGATTGTTCTGTTTTTCCTCCTGAGTACCGTTTCATGCGTCTGTGTCGTAAAGTATCCGGTCTTCAATGAAACATTTTTTGAACCGAAATTGGAGCATTTTTTTCGAGAAAGAATTACGACTAACAGTAACTTAAAAAATCTGCCATGCTCATTCGTCGTGCATACGCAAGCTTGACACATCCAAGGCAAAACTTTAAAAAATTATCTAATTAATCTTTCTTCCGCTGCATTTCTTTTACGCTCATATATTTTGAATTTTAACATTTCTTTTCTGTAAAAGAGAAAGTTTCAGCCAAGGTCGTCTCCTCGCTCGATCACCGATATCGATAGATATTTAATCAATTCCGCAACATTCCGCCCCAGATCTCGCGCTCGGACCTACCCCTATCTAGTTACGTCAGTGCGCACGCGGTTGCGCGTAGGAAGGGCGGCAGAGGGATGAAGAGGGTTGGAGGGACAAGAGATAATTGGCGCGAACAGCTCGGCCAGATGCGGTCGCGATCATGCCGCTGATTAAACGGTTTGATTAAGCGACTAATTTACTCGCATGCGCGCGATGTAACGTTACTTTATGCGAAATCTATAGCCCGTCCACGATCTGCCGTACGTTTCGCGCTGGCCCGCAAATCACAGCGACGGCGAAATCACGACGAGATATCAAACGGGATATCAACGGGCCTCCGTTCTCCCGGAAAACGAAGAGAATATAACGAGAAGTAACGAGAATGAAGCGGGAACGAAATGTTTTGGTTCTACATTTGTTATAGAATTATTTCTTTGTTATTTAACTAATTTATCTGTTTAATTAATTTGTTTATTATTAATTCTTCTAATTTTCTACGATTATCACTTCTTCATTATTATGGCGTATTTAGGTTTTAAGGGTTTTACCGTCAATCAATGCTATTTGAATTTTCTTTCGTAACGTTTGTCGCAAACATAGTCGACGAGCGCTATTGTTTGTTACGACCGAAATATACCTATGTATTTATTGGCTGCATCCAGAAGCACGATTGCTCATTGAGCGCTCATTGAGCGCTCACAGGTAGCCGCTCAGTGAGCATTTTTGATGTGCTAGATATATTGCTCACAACAATACGCATTTATATGACGTATAAGTTATAGATATTTATTTGCATTTATAATAGACATCTCGTCTCTAAAGATCTGCGTAAATATTAATTTCTATCTTTACTATCTG